TCTTATAATTTAGAAATATTTGAAGAAGAGAAATATAAAAGGGGAGCAGAGAAGGCAAGGAATTGGGAGGAGAGCAGAGAGATCCATTGGGGGACGTGGCTACATGGGCCCAATGGCCTCGGCCTGAGCTGCAATTTCCATGATTCTAATGAATTACCAGTGAGTCAGTCACCACAAATATGCGGAGAGCAGCTGACGGAGATGGTATCAAAATCTCTTGAAACTGCTACTCCAGGAGTGAGCTAACGTGATCTAATTATAGGATCTGAGGCCTGGGATCCCCTGGATTATGATTACCTGCTGGTTCTATTTTTATATCAAATCATCTCTGTGTCTAATTTATTAAACTACTGAAACTGATGCGAGATTAGGAGAGGTACCTTAGAAATCCTCTCCTGACTCTTGCGTGGAGCTGGGATGTCGTGAGTTACACTTTGGCCTTTGACACGTTGGTACTTGAAATCCCTGACACAGTGGGTGACCATCTTCTCAGGATGTTGGCTAGAATCAATCTGAGACCAGTTTCAACTCTTGTTTCTTGCGTGTGTAGGGTTCGCAGCACAAAAATGCCCATAATTTAGCACCGATTCGGTTAATTCCCCACCCAGAGGGTTGTTAGAACATGATTCTGTACTGAACGTACAGTCAGTTGTTGTGAAATATCATTTGTTGAATCTATTTCAGAGCCACACTTCCTGATCATTCCTCTCTCTTGCAGGAGATGACAAACGCTGTGTATCTGGTCATGGAGGTGAGTATGCCTCTGACCTCTTTTCTTTTCCCACGCTATTACAGACAATATGATAAAAAAAATAATAATTTGGTCACTCAATCCACGACTGTTTGTGGGACACTGCTGTGCGCAATTGGCAGCCGCAATTCGCCCACAAATATACAGTCAAATCACTTTACAATATAACCTGTGAAACGCTTTGAGACGTCTCGAAGATGTGATAAGGCGCTGTTTCAAATGCAAGGATTATTATATCTTCTTCTCATTTTGACGTTGTGTTTTTTTTAGTACTGTAACGGAGGTGACCTGGCTGACTATCTGCATGGTGAGTGTCCTAAGATTTGATGTTGGGCCAGTGGGGGGCAGGGGAGGGAAGGGGGGTGGGGGTCATTCCCCACTGTGTCTCACTGCTGGTTTGCTTTGCAGTGAAAGGCACCCTCAGTGAGGACACCATCAGAGTTTTCCTCCAGCAGATCGCGGGAGCGATGAAGTTGCTGCACAGTAAAGGCATCATCCACCGGGACCTCAAGCCACAGAACATCCTCCTGACGTGTGCTGGAGGCAGGAAGTCCAACCCCAGCACCATCTGCATCAAGATCGGTGAGACCCCAGCTCCTCCGTGCCCCGGCCATTGGAGAGCTCTGCTCATTGCTGCGTCCACCTGCGACCTGATGCTTGAAGGGTTAAAGTTATTCGTAAAGAAATTTAAAAAAAACTCTTGTAAAGAAATACAGAGAAACTTGACTACATTTTAGAGACATAGAAACAGGAGTAGGCTATTCAGCCCCTCAAGCCTGTTCCACTATTTTATAAGATAAATAATAATAATAATTCTTGAATTTGATATAGCGCTTTTCACGTCTTCTCGACGTCTCAAAGCGCTTCACAGAATAGACTGTAAAGTGAATGGACTGTATATTTGTGGGTGAAACGTGGCAGCCAAATGCGCACAGCAATGTCCCCACAAACAGTTGTGGATTGAAGTGACCAATTTTTTTTTTTTTTTTTCTTGAGGGATTATTATCAGGCGTGTGTGTGGAGTAAAGAAACTCACCCAAGGTTTGGCACTGCCGGGAATCGAACCCAGCTCTCTCGCTTGCGAGGCGAGTGCTCTAACCACTGAGCTGCAGGACTCCTAAGATCATGGCTGATCTGTACCTCAAGTCCAGTTACCCACCCACTGGCCCCATATCCCTCAATATCCTGACCTAACAAATATCTATCTACCTCATATTTCTTGGAAATGTGGATCTAGCATCCACAGCCTTTTGGAGAGAGCTCCATATTTCCGCTACCCGTTGCCTCCGTTCCTCCGGGTCTGGCCTCCTCCTCATCCCCCGAGTCCTCCGCTCCACCCTCGGCGGCCGTGCCTTCAGCCACTCCGCCCCGAGGCTCTGGAACTGCCTTCCTCACTCCCTTTGTCTCGCTCCCTCCCTATTTCCAGGTCTCTGCTGAAGACCTTTCTTTTCGACCGGCCTTTGATCACCTTCCCACCCCTCCCCCTGGCTCGATCCCGGGATCTGTTACTGTAAAGCGCTCTAAGACGCCGTCTGGCGTGGAGGGCGCTATATAAATCCAAGTTGTTGTTGTACCCTTTGGGTGAAAAAACTGCCTCCTAATCTCACTCCTAAATGGCCTAGCTCTAATTTTAAGATACGTCTCCTTGTTTTGGATTCCCCCAATAGGATAAATAGTTTATCTGTATCTACCTTATCGAATCCCTTTATTATTTTGAAACTATATTTTGTCATGGTTGAAGGCACAGTAAATCCTACGTGGAATTTGGGCAGTAATGAGCGGGTTCCAGATCCCATGGATGTCACTCTGGTTCTGAGTTGTTATGATTATTATGATATTCTGTCTGTGATGTTACATATTCAGACTAACTGTCGTCAGCAGTTCTTTACTCCACACCAGAGAAATAGGATCTGAAGTAATTAACTCCACGAACCTTCGCATTGAGAGCAGGATGTCAGTGGGGCGGGGTGGTGTGAAGCTGCTGTAATGTGACTCAGTGGTTGTGTCGCTATTACTCTAACCTCTCTTTTCCCTTTTGTTTTCAATCAGCTGATTTTGGTTTTGCTCGATATCTGCAAAGCAACATGCTAGCAGCAACTCTGTGTGGGTCTCCCATGTACATGGTGAGTGGCCGGATGTGCTGTAACAAACATAATATAACAAAAGCTTTACGTGTGTCTCAGCAAAGTGCTGACCGGGGCAAAGCTGTCTGGCCCGAGCTCCAGTATCACTGAGCCAACCAGCAGTCGTGACTGATAACATCTGACGCAGAGCTGGATTAAGCAATGAACAGCAACAGCAAAACTACATTTGTATAGCGGCTTTCACATCGGGCGGACGACCCAAGGCGCTCGGTCCCAATAAACTTGGTAAACCATGGCTTAGCACCTCGAGGTCTGAGGGGCCTCTGGTACGGTTGGCACCTTAACCTCACGCTCAGGCAGCTCCGTAAGCATGACTCCCTTTAGACAGCGGCCGTTTCTGTCTTGAGCAGCTCGAGCTTCTGTTGCTTTCTCCTTAGGCCCCAGAAGTCATCATGTCGCAACATTACGATGCGAAGGCTGATCTTTGGAGCATCGGAACCATGGTGTATCAGTGCCTGACCGGCAAGGCCCCTTTCCAGGTGGGTCGGAGCGAGGAGGGGTACACGTGTGCCTGTCACCCCTCGTAGCCGCCATGTACAGAGTCATTTCACTGCGTGTTGGTGCTCATTCTCTCCCTCTCTCTCTCTCTCTCTCTCTCACTCACTCACTCTCTCTCTCTCTCAGGCCAACAGCCCTCAGGACCTCAGACTCTTCTATGAGAAAAACAGGAACCTAACACCAAAGTAAGTTTGTCGTCCTAACAAATCTTTCGTGCATTTAACGGGGGCTGAAACTATCTGGTGTGTCGCAACGCAGCATCGCTGCTCCGCGCGACCACATCATAGGATCGTCGAAGGGTGCGTCCCCTGCGCCTGCGTCCCGAGGAATTTAGCCATCCAGCATAGGTGAGGAGTCAAACTAATACGTGGGATTGCGCTCTTTATGGAGCCGGGCACACACAGCAACCACAAATTAGATATCAGGTTAGATAGCGCCTTTCACATCGGGAGGACGTCCCCGATACTCGGGCTCTGGCTGCGGACGGGGAGCAATGGAGGAAACGGGGCGTTGAGGTTTAATTCTCTGGCCGGTCTTTTTCTTGCTGACAGCATTCCCAGAGAGACGTCCAGCGACCTCCATAACCTGCTGCTCGGCCTCCTGCAGCGCGATCATCAACAGCGCATGGAGTTCAGTAAGTGATCGTCCCCCTCTCTGTTGCCCCCCCCCCCCCACCTGGTCTTCCCCTACTCCTCCTCCCCCTCTCGCTACCCACCACACCTCGCGCCCCCACCCCTCGGCTTCCTCTCCCTGCGTCAGTAACTGTGGGTCTTTTTGCAGGTGAGTTTTTCCACCACCCGTTCCTGGAGATCAGCACGTCACTGAGGAAATGTAAGTGAAAGGAGGGGGGGGGGGTGGAGGGTTCCTGAATTTCCCGCGTTCCGTCACCGCATTGCGTCGCCCGTGCGGACGCTCTTGACGTTGCCTTTTCCTGCGTTCTCCAGCGGCTCCGGTCCAGATGCGGTCAGACCCCGGCTCAGCCTCCGGCAGCTCCTGCAGCAGCTCCTCCACGTCCCACTTGGCTTCACCCCCGGTGAGTAACCCGCGAGCGCGTCAGAGGCTCCGGCTGTCCCGAGGGGCCGGTGACGGCAGGGGGCGGGGGGGGCGCCCGGAAGCCCTTGCCTTTCGTTGTCTGATGACCATACGTTGTGCGGCAGAACGTTTCGCTGTGCGGAGCCCAACAGCTGAGCGACAGGACCCTGGCTCCCCCCACGCCCGCCTCTCCCGGCTTCCTGCTGAGCTCCACCGACAGCGGCAAGAACTCCGCCTGCGACATTGACGATTTCGTGCTTGTGCCGTACAGCAGCCAGGTCCCCGGTCAGTGTCCGAGGGGGAGGGGAAAGCGGTGGGCGAGGGCACTGGGGAGGGGGTAGGTGAGGGGGAAGGGGGAATGCGAGGGGGAGGGAGTAGGCGAGGGGCTGGTGAGGAGTGGGAGGGTGAAGGAAGGGTCCGACGAGGGGGGTGAGGCTCCAGCGAGGAGGGGGGCGGGGGGGGTGGGGGAGGTATTGTTCTACGTTGGTTGCACTGTAGAGAAGCTGAGTTTTGCTGTTCGATGGCAGGTGACCTGGCGGAGGGCGTGGACGAGGAAAGGACCGCGGGGGACAGCTTGGTGCTGAGCGGGTAAGTGTCGCGATTCAGCGGTGAGAAGAATTCACCCCTGCCCCACCCCACCCCCGCCGCTGTGTTGCGCAGGACGTTGCCAGCTCTAATCGGCCTCTTGTGTTGAGCAGGTCTCTGCTGACCTCGGCGGGAATGGAGAGTCGGGGCCCAATTTCCTCATCCTCAGCGTCCAGCTGTTCCTGCAGCCCATCTGGGTAAGCGCCCGTCACTCGGGGCAGTGCCCCGGAGCGGGTGGGGTTGGGGGACGGGGGGGAGCGGTGTGGGATCTGGGCGGAGCTGGGGGTGGGGCCGAGGAAGGGGTGTGGGGCGGGGAGGAGTGCGAGTCCTTCTGCCCTGAGCTGAGTCTGGGGTCGGGGGGGTGGTGGGGGGGCGGTGGTTGCAGTTAAAATTAGCTTCAGTTCAGCTGCAGATTGTGCACGACTGAGCCGGAAAGCTGCTCGGAATTCTCCGTGTGAAGCTCGGCAACGGGCACAGGCAGCGCCTGGATCGGGAACGCCGTGTCCGGGTTGGGGGGTGAGGGTGGGGGGTCTGTGTGAGGCCCAGCAACCCTCCTGGCTACTCGTCCCTGGGATTCCTGATCATTTAGTTGTCGAGGTCTCGGCCTCGATGGCGGAAAAAAAATTGGGGAGAATTATTGGAGTTAATTTGAGATACATTTCACTTAAATGTTCAGACAACGTTGCCCAGTAAAGGGATTTTAAGGCTGGGGCGTCGGGGGGGGGGGGGAGGTTGTTGTCGTTGTTGATGGCTGTGTTTCTACGCTTCCCAGCACGTCTGTCAGTGCAGAGGATCCTCAGACAGCAACTCCTTATGACAAACCTTCTCCCTGTAGACGGACGAGGACACTTGGCAGTTACGGAGAGTCAGTTCCAATACCGGTCCCAACCCAACTCCACAACTTCCAGCGGATCGAAGAGAACTTGCAGTCACCCAAGCAGAGCCTTTCTCCCAGGTCAGTGACTGAGCCTCGATACTGAGCGCTGGCGGTGTGAGCTGGTAGCATCCTTAGCGTGCCGTTAGCGTGTTGGTGTGCTGGCGGGTTGTCCTCTTATTGACGTCCTGTGCTTTTCAGATCAGGATCGGGATCAGGCCGGGAATCTACTGCCCAGGTTTCCAGCCGAGCTGGAATCTCGCCTCCTCAGGGCTCCTTTGGGCTCGGAAACTACTCTGTGGGGTCTCAAAGGTGTGCCCGACCTCACTCCCAGGTAAGGTTCGGCACAGTCGGGTGCAGGATTTTCAGGTCTGATCGCTTTCACATTCCGTCAAGTGATTGCATGGCCACCCGAGCTGGTGTTCACTTCACCTTTTACTGTCATCAAAATACTACCGCTAATGACAGTAATAATCCTTCCATCTTCGAGACGTCTCAAAGCGCTTCACGGGATACACTGCAAAGTGAATTGACTGCGTCTTTTGTGGGCCAAACGCAGCAGCCGATTGCGCACGGCAGCGTCCCCCACGAACAGCCGTGGATTGAAATGACCAAAGCCATAATAAATTGCTTTTACTTGACCAAAATCAGAGCAACAGAATTCCTGCCTTCAACCCCTCACCCCGGCCTGTGGTCGCAGCATTGTCCATTCTGTCGGATGTTAATGACGCCTTGACAATGTTTGGAAAAGAGAAGGGGAGTTCCTCCCGGTGTCCTGGCCGACAATCCCTGGATTTGTCGCTGACTCACTTCCCGGCCGGGGCTCAGGACACGGGCTGCTGACGGACACGGCGGGCGATTTGGCTCTGGGTGGACTGGGACGGGGAAACTCGGAACCGGGTGGAACCGTAACGTTTTCTTTCGTAACACAGGAGCAGAGACGGATCAGCTCGCCCTGCGTTGCAGACTGCACAGCGCTCCCAATCTCTCGGCCCTGCCTGCCACGCAGCACAGGATTAAGAAGCAGCGTTCCGAGCCTGCCGTGACGCAGTACGGATACGCCCGGGGGCCTGGGCTGGTGCCGTGCAGACCGATGCCATCCTGCTCCAAGCTCTGTGAGTTAATGCAGAGGAGCCCGCTGCCGACCATCATTGGTTCCCCGACCAAGGTATCGCACCCACAGGCTTTGTGTGACTGTTCTGTCCAGTCACAGGCAAATAATTCGCTCGATACGGGGGCTGGGGTGGGGGGTAGGGCACGGGCTTGGGGACCGGATGGTACGGGGGCAGGCGGGGCAGTAATGATGCTTTCCTTGCTTCCTAGGCCATCTCCCCGTTCGAATTCCCGATCGTACCGAGCTCCCACAATCTGGTCCGAATGTTTGCACATCAGGTGCTCGCTCCCGCTCCCACCGTGCCCGACCCGGGAGAGGCACCGCGCCTGCTGGCCGAGCACCGCACATCTCAGGAGGACGTGACGCTCGGCAGGCAAGTCGGCGGCAGACGCGAACCACGCACGCGTCCCTCGCGACCATTTCCTCCCCCCCCCCCCCGGCGTTAAACGCGGCGCCTTCGGGAGGCGAAGGGAGACCGTCGGGGAGGGTCGATCGAGCAAAAACGCTTTGCAACCGGAATGCAATACATTGTGTCTGTGGATCGCGTGAAGCTCGTGACGCGCGCAAAAAAAATGCTCCCCAAACTTTGTAACGGTCCAAATATCTTTATCCCAGGATGTTCTCCCGCTCGAGGACCCTGGTGTGAGTGAGGGAGGGAGGCAAGGAGGGAGTGAGTGAGGGACTGAGGGAGTAAGTGAGTGAAGGAGGGAGTGAGTGAAGGACTGAGGGAGTAAGTGAGGGAGGGAGTAAGCGAGTGAGTGAGTGAAGGAGGGAGGGATGGAGGGAACGAACGACTGGGTAATGTTTCTGTTTCTGCAGGTCGCCGAGCGCTGGCAAACTGTCCGACCTGTTGTTGAAAGCTGCTTTTGGAGATCAGATCCCAGACACGGACGGCAACAAGAGTCAGAAACCAGAGAGACCAACGGATGGAATGGGTTACGTGCTATAACAATCGGCAGCGGGGTGATGGGGGGGGTTGGTGTCTGGAGTTGGGGGTAGAGTGGCCGGAGGGTGGGGGGATGGGAGGGGGTGGCCCGAGGTGGGGGAGGGACACCTGTTGATGTGGTCTCTATAGCTGATGTTGTCCGCCTGCTGTTCTATTGCAGCCCCAAAATGTCCTCAAGCGGCGACCGTGTGCTCAGGGGCTGCTAGTCGGGCAGGCAGTCCGGTACCCGTGGTGTTCACTGTGGGGTCACCTCCCAAGGGAACAACCTCCGCCCAACCCAACACAAGAGCGTTCTCAGGTATTTGTACGTTCATCTGTGCGCGGTGGAGCTGTAACTCCCGGTTCATAGAATCATAGAATCGTACAGCTCAGAAGGAGGCCATTCGGCCCCTCATGCCCGTGCTGGCTCTTGAAAGAGCTATCCAAATGTTCCCCCCTCCCCCCGCGCTCTCCCCGTAGCCTCTTGTTGCACTTTTGTGGCTTGTGAGTTCTTCCAGAGTCTCAGCGTTAATGAATGGGAATGTCAGACTCGAGCTGTGTGTTGGTCGGTCTCCCTCCCTCCCTCCCTCCCTCGCTCGCTCGCTCGCTTACTCACTCACATGTGCTGCAGCTTATCGGCCACTTATTGGTTTGGGAATCGCTCGCTCGACTTACAGCTCTTCTTGTCTTGTCTTTCCAGTTGGCTCCACCGGTTGGGCCAGCTGCCTGGACTGCGGGGGTGGGCGATGCTCCTCCCGAGCTCCCGGAGCACCCCCCATAGTCAGCGACGGTCTCCTCAGCCTCCGCCTCGTTTACACAGACGCCCTGGCCGCAAACATGGAGACCATGGTGACCTTTGAAGCCCCAGAACTGCCCGAAGAAACACTAATGGAGGTGAATGTTCCCGAGGGGACGCTGCACGTGAGAAGGCGCCGTGTAACACGCTCGCGGTGGTCGTTGTCGCGAGGAACGTTTTTCGTTTGAGTCAAAACTTTGGCGCAAGGAAACGAGAGCGTAAGAATTTGCTCGGAGAAGGAAGACCCAAGGTCCACCCAGTTCACCATCCGCCATCCTGGGCAGTCACTTGACAACGTGTCTCAAAGTGTATCCTATTTCTAGCAGAAATCTATCTTAATTTGTTCTGGAAATAAATGACATTTTCTGCTCACACTCGCGAAAATGTTTCAGCTGGGACGGGCTCCGCGTGTACTCACATGTAGTCCTTTTTGTCCTCTGTACACCGTACAACAGCAGGAACACACCGAGATCTTGAAGAACCTGCGCTTCACGCTGGTGTTTGTCAGCTGCGTGATGGAGATCGCGGACGCGAAGGGCAGCTCCGCGGAGATGTGCAGCTCCGTGGCTTCTGGGGGTCGGCTGCAGGACAGCGAGGTGATGGATCAGATCAGTCTGCTCAGCAGAGAGTGGAGGTGAGAGACGCGCGCGCTCTCCTCTGCCCACATTGTGGAGTCCTGTAGCTCAGTGGTTAGAGCACTCGCTTTGCAAGTGAGAGACCTGAGTTCAATTCCAGGCACAGGGCGAAACCTTGGGCAAGTTTCCTTACTCCACACAGAGCCTAATAATAATCCCTCCAAAAAACAAAAACAATAATAAATTGGTCATTTTCAATCCACGACTGTTTGTGGGACATTGCTGTGCGCAATTGGCTGCCGCGTTCGCCCACAAATATACAGTCAATTCACTTTACAGTGTGTTCTGTGAAGCGCTTTGGGACGTCCTCCCGACGTGAAAAGCGCTATATCAAATGCAAGGATTATTATTATTATTATTATTAAACCTACGAATTATCCTGTCCTGTCCCCGTGGGCGGGGAGGGGAGGGGAGGGGGAGGGCGGCAGCAGTCACCAGTCTGCTTAGAAACATTCCTTTCCTGGGGCAGAGCAGTAAGGAGGAGTCCGGCTGGTGCAGGGAAACGACCTTCGTGAGGAGGGGGAGAGAAAGTCCAAGCAACTTGCACTGTAAGCAGAACCTTTTATTTTGCGTCACGTCTCAAACCACTCGACTGACGCAGAGCGGAGCAGTGAGCGTGGAGGGGAGGAGGGGACCCGAGGCACGGTCAACGGGTTATGCCTTGAAGATTGGAAGAGAGGGCACAAACGCTGCGGGATTTGGGGAGGGAGTTCGGGGGAGCGGGGGGAGATGAAAACCCGGCCATTAACGGCGAGGGACAGGGATATGCGGTGATCTTTGCCGCGCGATTTTAAACCTAACCCTGCCATTGACCATTGTTGATATGTTTACGAACCGGGATGACCTGTTCTCTCCCCCACAACCCCCCCCACCCCCTCACGGCAGTAAATTAATTGACAGACAGAGACCACCCCCTTCCCTTACTTGATATGGTGACAAAAAACAACCAACGTCACGCCTCACGTCTCTGTAAATAAAGAGAGCGAAGGTAACTTGTGCCTCACCGAAGGTCACCAAACCTCCTCCTTAATGTCTCCGCAGCTTCGCTGAACAGCTGGTTCTCTACATGAAAGTGACAGAGCTGCTATCCTGTGCCCTGGACACCAGCCGCATCCACATCAGATCCGGAAAGCTCTACCCGTCGGCTGCCGTCAAACAAGGTGTGAGACGGTCCCAACAACAGTTTGTGTCTAACTCTAGTGTGACATGGTCTGCAATGCCCTGCCCGAAAGGGTAGTGGAAACAGATTCACTAACGACTTTCAAAAGGGAACTGGATCGGTACTTGAAGAGGAAACATTTGCAAGGGATATAGGGAGAGCGCGGGGGAGTGGGACTGATTGGGTAGCACGATGGGCCGGATGGCCTTCTTCTGTGCTGTAATATTCTACGATTCTATGACACAGACGCTGGCCCAGCTCTGAAGAACATTAATGCCTATCCCAAGTTATTGTTGGTCGGCGATGACTGAATGAGTGGGGCATCGGGTTAGAAATCCTGTGAGATCCTGAAGAGGAGAATAATTAGTCAAACTTCGTTAATACTGTCAAGAGTCTCGGTTTGGATTGGAACTAACCCTGATTTTAGATTGAAATAACAAACCGTTTGTGTTTTGTCAGTGGTGAAGAAGTTGAACGAGCTGTACAAGGTGTGTGTGACCTTCTGCCAGGGTCTCAGTACTCGTCTTCAGCGCTTCTTCCTGGACAAACAGCGACTGATGGACCGAATCAACAGCATCACCGCTGAGAAACTCATCTACAGCTACGCCGTGCACATGGTACAGCCCCAACACGGGCAGGATACAAGGGCTCTGGGGTGGGAGAGCGGGGGAGACTCAGGCTATTGGGTGGGAGTGGGAGCCCCGAGTTATTGGGGGAGGAAACGGTTTGTGTGTCCTTGCTGGTGCAATGCTAGCATGTTTCTGCTGTGTCCTGTGTTCGTGAAGCACTTGACAAGGTTCGTTAAAGTCCATGTCCTGAAAGTGCTACATCACAAAAAAAATAATAATTTGCTCACTCAATCCACGACTGTTCGTGGGGACACTGCTGTGCGCAATTGGCTGCTGCGTTTTGTCCACAAAAATATACAGTCAATTCACTCGATGAAGTGCTTTGAGGCGTCTCAAAGATGTGATAAGGCGCTAGATCAAAGGCGAGGATTATTATTGTTATTACGTGAAAGGTGCAGGTTAATTGTTGCTCTGAATGTTCTTGGCGATATTTTCTGGTACGGATATTTAGGAGCATTACAGCTGGCGTGAGTGATGAGCTGGTTTCAGTGGCTCCAGGTTTGCAGAGTAATTTTGTGCGCTGTTGTGACTAGGTACAGGCAGCAGCGTTGGATGAGATGTTCCAGCAGGCGAGGGACTATGTGCAGAGATACCACAAGGCACTGCTGCTGATGGAGGGTCTGACCCAGATCATCACAGACCAGGCAGACGTGGACGCCATCAGCAAGTGTAAGCCATCACGATCTTGTCGCTGACCCGACTGATCTTCACTTCCATTTCGAATCGGTATTCTTTTGAAAGCTTTTGAGACGTGAATTGATTTTACACGAATGTCGTGTTGTATAACAACACTAGTCATTCCCACAAAATATACACTCGTGCATTTCGTCCACCAAATACACGGTCACTACACTTTACAGTATATTCTGTGAAGCGCTTTGAGATGTCTCGAAGACGCGATGAGACGCTATATCAAATGAAAGGATTATTATTATAGTTGTGCATCACTGAAATACCTGGAACTTTACTTCGGTATTGGTTTGACATCAGCCAGTGAGAGACTGTCTCAGTTCCTAGGCTACACGGTCTCAGGTTTGGACACGTACTCCCCGCTGATTTTTGCTCCTGAATAAGACGACGTTTTCTTTTTTTTCTTCTTTCAGGTAAACAGTGCATTGAGCGGAGACTTTCTGCCCTGCGGCCCGGTTTGTGCGCGTGAGACGTGCGGTTTACAGTCCTCTGTAGAGCCCCAGTCTCTCCCAGTGTCAGCCTCCAAAGATGGGGCTGCCTGAACATGGATACAGTTATTGTCTGTGTCTCCCTTTGATATTTCTTGGAAGAACTTTTGGCAGTTCTTAATAAGACATTTGACGGGACATGAAATGAACAGACGTGTTGGGCTGACCGGGCCCCTGTCCGCCTATTTCTACGATCCCTGATTGATATCGTCTTGAACTCTACGGGATTGCATTCTGAACCAGATACGAAGCAGACACATACACTGCTCCAGAGACTGGATGTCAGCCAGACATGCGTAGTAAAGTTTACTGGTATATTTCATCAAACGCTGCCTTGAAGCACTTTCCTCACTTTTTCTGGTGTGAGTCAAACAAGAAGCTACACGGAGGTCACTTTATAATCTATTGCTTTGTAGTC